AGGTGACTTCTTGAATGGTTGACCTGAGAGATGGTTACGGTTTATTGCATGTTTCATTTATCATTAGCAGTATATAAAAGTGTCGGAATAAGACCTTAGTTGATAAGAGGTTTTCTACCAGTACTCGGGTGTTGTGTACAATTGCTGTGAATAGAAGTTATCGTTTCGAGTGTTTGAGTTATGTGGTATATCATATAATTGCACCTGAGGTTGCAGGTATGGGGTATTACAGCTGGTTTGGACTTATTCTGAATATAGATGTGAGGTTCTGATCTTGTGTATGATTTCGGAAAGTGAAATGTGGTTCTATGATTTATGGGCTAGACTGGATTGTGTGATTTTAGTTAAAATATGTTATCGGACCTATATGAGATAGGATGACATGGGATCACCCCCGGATATATGCTTGGTAAGGTCATTCAGCTATTGGTTGGCTTCTAGGACAACTCTGGGTACGTTTGAGGACGAACGTGTGTTTAAGTGGGGGAGGATGTAACGACCCAACCGGTCGTTTTGAGCTTTTGCACTTTGATCGCCAGTTTTCGGGCATGACTTGCCCCGTGTTATGCATTATGACCGATGTAGATCGTTGATTTTGGCTTTCAGGAAAATCGGAATGAATTTGAAAGAATAGTCTCAGTTGAAGGCTTTGAATTTGAAAGGGTTGACCAAGATTTGACTTTTGTATATGAGCTCGGATCGGAGTTTTTATGATTTGGTTAGCTTCGTTGGGTGATTTATGACTTAGGAGCGTGATCGGAATTGGTTTTGGAGGTCCGGTGTAGAATTTGGCTTGAATTGGCGAAGTTAGTATTTTGGCGAAATTCCGGTTGATAGGTGAGATTTTGATTCGAGGGTCGGAATGGAATTCCGAGAGCTGCTGTAGCTTCGTTATGTGATTTGGGATGTGTGTGCAAAATTTCAGGTCATTCGGAGGTGATTTAGTTGGGTTTTTGATCAAATGCGTGTTTCGGAAGTTTTAGAAGAACTTAGGCTTGAACTCAATGTAATTTGATGGTTTTGGTGTTGTTTGAGGCGTTTTGATGATTGGAACAAGTTTGAATGATGTTATAGGAGGTGTTGGTGCTTTTGGTTGAGGTCCCGGGGGCCTCGGGGTGATTTCGGATGGCTAACGGGAAGTTTGGAGTTGAAAAATGCAGCAGAAAATGCAGCAGCAGTGCAGGTTCAATTTTTGCCTTCGCGATCGCGAGAAGGAACTCGCATTCGCGTAGAAGGAGTTGAGTGGCCCTGATTTTTGTACTTCGCGTTCGCTTTTGGGTCTCGCGTTCGCGGAAGGTAAGTTCCTGGTGCTTCGCGTTCGCGATGTGGGGTCCGCGTTCGCGTAGTAGAAGTGAGGGTCCAGCTTAGGTGCTCATCGCGTTCGCGTATATAGTGTCGCGTTCGCGTAGGTTCAGGAGCCCAAGTCTTCGCGTTCGCAGGAGTGCAGACGCGTTCGCGAAGGGTAATTTTGGTCAAGGAAAAATGTGTTCATCGCGAACGCGGGGGTTTGACCGCGTCCGCATAGAAGAAATGTCAGCTGGGCAGAAGGGTTTTTAATAATATTTCATCCGCGAGCCTAAGTCATTTTCCTCCATTGTTGAGTATTTTTAGAGCTTTGAAGAGGGATTCGAAGAGGATTGATTGGAGGTAAGTTCTATGGACCAAAAACGTGATTATTATGTGAAATTAACCTAGAAATTCATGGAAATTAAACCTAAAATTGAAGAACTAGGGCTTGGAAATTGGAGATTCTTAAATTGGGATTTGATAGGCCATTTGAGCTCGGATTTGGGAGTTCTTGATATGTATGAACTCGTGGGAATATAGGGAATCTATTGATGTAAAAATTTCTGAGTTTCGAGATGTGGGCCCGGGGCTCGGGTTTTGCTAATTTCGGGATTTTCGATATTTTTCGATTGTTTCGCTTAGGTTTTGTTCCCTTAGCCTGTTGTGATGTATTCGTTGTGGTTTTGGTTAGATTCGACGTGCGTGGAGGCCGATTTGAGTAGCAAAGGCGTCGCAAGCTAGAGATTCCGCTGGTTCTAGGTGAGTAATGATTGTAAATGATATCCTGAGGGTTTGAAACCCCGAATTTGCACATCATAGTGCTATATTGAGGTGACTTGCACGCCGGATAGCGAGCGTGGGGTAGAGCACCGTTGGGGATTGCGACTTGGTCCGTCCCGATTGATGAATTTACTGCGTATTTGTCTGAAATTACTTGTTATCATCACAATTTGGGCTGATTGCCATATTTGGGCTTCGTGCCAGCTATTTGAACCCTTCGGGGATTGTTATTGAAAATTCCTCACTGTTTTAATTATATACTTGAGCTCAGTCACGTATTTTCCACTGTTTTAAAACTCAACCAAGTTTATTATGCCTTAAACGCTTGAAATGATATTTTCAAAAATATTTTAGGCTGAGCATCATGTTTTATTGTTGCCCGAGAGGCTTGTTGATATTTGACTGGGTAAGGCCGAGGACCTGTATTGTGAGGATACGTTTGGATCAGGCTGCACGCCGCAGCAGTGTTATACTGATATTGATATGAGGCCGAGGGCCTAGATTGATGCCACGAGATGGCTTGATATTGCGCTTGGGCCGTAAGGGGCCCCTCCCGGAGTCTGCACACCCCCAGTGATCGGGCTGCACGCCGCAAAGGTACTAGTACTGTTCTGTGTGTTTACTTTATTTCATTTGCCAGCCTTTACCTGTTGTTTGTGCTACTTCATGTGATATCTACCGGATTGCCTGACATTATCTGTTAATTGAGTGTGGTGCCCGAGGGGCGGACTTCTGTGCTTATCTGCACTATTTGATTTGCATTCGTTTGCATACTATTGAAAAAGTCATTTTCAAATGAGGTTTTAAACTGAGCTAAGATATTTCTAAAGATTTCACAGCTTCACTGCTTTTCTCAAGGGTTTTACACTACTTCTATATAGCATGATGATATGTCATACGTGATTTCTTACCGCTCAGTTGTTATTTACCTTTATTACTCACTGAGTTGGAGTACCCACTTTACTCCCTGCACCCCGTGTGCAGATGCAGCTATTTATTCACCCGGTAGCGGGTTTGGCTGATCAGAGTCAGAGATATAGGAGTTTAACGAGGTGACTGCCAGCGTTCGCAACATCGTTCTTCTCCCTTTGTTCATTATTCTTGATCAGTGTATTTTTAGACCTTGTGGTTGTACTTACATTCTAATAGATGCTCGTGACTTGTGACACCCCGATTAGGGCTGTGTTGGGTTGTATTTCCGCTAATTAATATTATTAAGTCATATTTTAGCTGTTTATTCATGTTTAAATTATTTCTGAAAAGACGAGTTGGGTTAGTTGGCTGGCCTCGTCTTCACGAGAGGCACCATCACGACCAGTGCGGGGTTTGGGTCGTGATACTTTCGCAAACTAAATCATTCAACTAATGAAAAACATCACAATAGTCTCTCATGTCACCCTGAATTTCCTTCACACAGGCAACCCAAGTGTTTTCTTAACTTAATTGAGCCACCAACCATTGAAGCGAATTAATAAGCATAGCCTACATATAAACCAAGAATAGCGTTACTCGCTAGATGGAAAGCAATTTTATGATACAATACATATTTTTTTGGATGAAGCAATATATTTATCATGACTAACCTTTGAAAGGAATCGAGAGAACCCAAAAGACAAAAAAAGAAAAAAAGAAAGGAACATATATTAGTCATAATTATGAACATAACTGTGATAAAGCTAATGAATATGCATATAGCACTGGATGAGACAATAGAAAATTGATCTTGAAGCTTATGAGCAGGCAGCATTTACAAAATCCACTTAGAATCAGAATCAAGCACTCGAAAAATCCATACTTCCCCAAGAAATAAAAAAATCTAAAATTTCTTCTACCCAAGGCCTTACAACTAAAGCTTTTAAATTCTATCCATAGAGCTCAGTTTGTCATTTGATATGTAGCTTACGTCTTAAGTCAAAAGTTATTATACCGACAAATCATGTAGTGTCATGAACATCTTTATACTTAATATATAACACAAAAAACGTAAAATAAAAATTAATAAGTTAGTCAAAAGTTCTTATTAATGTTCAACACTCTCAGTGAGACTGAGCCCTCGCTCGAACGATCAAGAAGTTTCTGAATTCTATCATCCCATTTTTGTTTATGGCTTTTGTTTTTTCACTTGTACTCTAGAAGACCCTGAGCAGTCTTTATCCTAAGGTACAAATCTAGGCCTCTAACTCTTTCATGAACAGTTAGACCTCACTTTCATCACATACTTTATAAACAACTCTGGTTTTAACTACCATGAAATTGTACAGAGAGAGCTTGCCTTTATTAGTTTTAGAAAAAGCTCAACCGACTTGTTTACTCTTCAAATTGGTCACAATTTATTGATTCCACAAAAGTTGGTGTTTTCATCTATGTGTATGAGCAAATGCAATTCAATTACAAAGAGTAATGATATGAATATCTTGAAATTCTATTGAGAGAACTGAGATTTTTTGTTCATATAGTCAGACACGCGTTTTCATCACTGCTCATTCAGAATAACAAAATTTATTAAGAATAGTTCTTGCATAAAAATAAATATTAACCTTCTCTTGTTATTTGCAGCAATCCATCTATGTCCATAGGAAAAGAAACAGAATTCCACCATACTTTTGCTACATAACTTATAGATTCATTCCTCCTTGCTTCTCCCATAATCTTGTAACCAAAGCTTTGAGAGAAGAGTAGTTTCTGCTCTCGAAGATTTTCAGTCATGGTAAAAAGGCTATTATTAATAAACATGGGTATCAATAGCTCATATTCACTTGAAAATAGCAACTGACTAAATATGTCGTTGTCACAGTTGCAGCTATTAGTTTGATAAGATCACTGTCACTATTTATATTGCAGAAAAAATTGCTTTTCCTAATAAGAAATCCGCCGCATCATGGGAATCAATCCACCAGACTATTCCAAACTAATTTAACTTATAAATACACATATTAATAAGTTCTCTTATTTTATTTAGCTTGTCAAGCTACAACGTCAAAATAGACGTTTAGGCAAAAAATGAAACTACATATCCTTAATATATCATGTATCAGACCGAATTCCATTCAGATGTAGGCCATAAAGATGCAAAAGAAGGAAAGAAAAGGGGATGAATAGTCCTACATTTCCTTGTATGGTTAGATTTTGAAAATTATGTAATAGAAACAACTCTCACAATCAACACACCAGATTCAGAAAATGCATTTAGAATTACTGAGTTCGCAACAACATCGAGAGATACCATCAAGCATTTCCGCAAATAAGGCTACAACTTTTCCAAGTGACCCCGTTATGCACATCCTTCTGTTAATATATGCAATGTAATTAAGAGATTGGGCTTGTATGTGTTAGATAGTGAATAGGAACAAGTACTTCAAAGAAGTCTCTTACTCTTGCTCTTCAGTTGTACCCTGTAAGAAAACTGTTGCAGCACATATTACGTTTTGTAAAATGAAGTCTCTTGAAGCATACAATACATTTAACTTCAGTATACTTTTAGTATCAGTTACCTTTTTAAATTTCTAGTTGTGTGTTGGTCACTCTGGTAGTTTCGGGTTCTAACGGTACACTATGATTTTTTGCATTTCTTGAATCATCAGATCTTCCAATTTTTCATTTTTCATGCTTTTTACTCCAAAATTGACCCACAAAGGAGAAATATAATGCATAAACAGCTTTTAGATGAGTAGATGGTGATACATTGAAAGTGAATACACACTCTTAAAACAACCAGAAAATGTGGAATGAAATCTTAGCAACTTACCTTTTATCATCTGCTGCCTTTTTAGTGATTCTGCAGCTTTCCTTTCATCCTGTGCAAGTATCTATTTAGTAAAAAATTCTTTTAATTTTGCAGCACCGATATGGGTATGAGATTTGAAAGCAAAGTAACATTTGGGTCCTTGAAACAGAACATTAAAAACCTGAAACCATAGAAATAGGAAACAAAATATTAAAATCATGAAACCAAATAGAGTTCTATACTCATGATGTTTTATCAATTTTCCTTCTATATCTGTCAAAAAGTCGATGCGTTTTTAGCTTTTATTATTTGGGTCGTCAATGAAGTTTTAAGCAACACAATCATATCGTGCGTGTTTGTAAGCTCATAACCTTCTACACAGTCTCATGCTGCTTTTTGCCAGTAATAGATAATATGTGTTTATACATAAAAGGTGCAAGTTGATGGGAATGCTTTCTCCTCCATTTTTTCGGTTAAACTATACAGATTCAAGAACTATCACAAATTTATCACCTTTGTGATCTTAAAAGTCTCATACCTGCATTGATTACACATAAACAACTAATTAAGCATATTATGCAACTCCTGAAAATATTTTCGCAGTTGAAATAATGAAATAAAAGAAAGTAAAAGCAAGAAGCTGCCATTTCGCAACATACTTCAAACCTCATTCAAGAGGAGGTTTGGAAGAAAAATCAAAAGAGAAACGAAGAAAAACACGAAACTTGGTGAGGGAAAAACATGATTATAAGAGCGTTTGCTTTGATCGACACATATACTAAGCAAGCAGTAGCACACAACTTTATCTCAATTTGCATAACATAAAGTTGTATTCGAAATCTGATTGCTTCTTAATTCGTTAAACCACCTATGTCAAGAGCACAATCCCTCATCAATTCCAGCAAATTGAGTCGAATTTTGAGCTTCTATATCATTTCCTTAATAAGAAATAGTAGTCCAAAATGCTTGAACAATTCCCTTCGCATGAGTCTAAGCATAAGTAGTGGAAAAAATTGACAAAATTAACCAAAGGAAAATTGGCTGATACCTGGTTTATCACCTCTGGCTTCAACTATGACTACCCATTGAGATGCTGTTGTGCCATAGCAAAAATTAGAAGAAGATTGGACCAAGCAAATCAAAGACAACAGTAAATCCCTAAAAGAAGAGACGAAGGATAAGGAAAGGTTAGAGAGAAAGGTCAATACTTATGGAGTAACGGTAGAAGATTACTGCTAGAACTCGCCAGCAATGGCAGATCTGTAGATGATTGAACAAAGTAATGGTGAAACTCGAAAGAGAGCTAGTTGGAGGAGTGAGTCGTAGAGAATTCTAGATGAATAATATACACGTGTGTTACCAAAGCAATAAAATTTGAACTTATATCAGTTATGAAATTACTGAAATACCCTTGGTCGATCATTATAGCTCTTCTATATAATAGAAACTAGATGATGGTAGGCCCGTGGCTAGCACGTGCCCAATCTAGAAAATGAGTATATTTCACACATTTCTTTATAAAAAAAAAATTCTGCTTTTTATGTGATTGGTTTGTGATATTCCTAGGTTAGTTTCTTGGGTATTTGAGAATATACTCACTTCCGGATCTTATTTAGGTAAAATAGATCTACTTTAGTTACAAGTTTTATAGGTAAAGGAGTGCATGTTGACTATTTGTGCTTGAGCAAAGGCATAACATTTGTCTTTCAGTCATGCGAAGAGAAAATATGTGAGATTGTGAGATAAAGACCTATGTATGAGACTTTGTATGTGGTTATATTGGTATGCCATATAATTATTTTGATTAGTAATTGGCATGGCTTAAGTTTGAAATCTTCTTTATTGTTCCACATTTCCACTTTCCCAGCGCCTAGTTTGCTTTTGTAAAATGTCGTATGCTTATTTGTGTGATGTTATGTATGATTTCTTGTAATTAAGTCGGTGTAAAATTGTGCTACCCTTTTTAATCATGTCTTTCTGATTCAGTTCCATACAAATTGCAATTTTGAGCTCAGATAATTTTTCTTTATGTGAAAACTTAATTTTATGATTTTGGACCTCATCTTGTTAGACACTATTAAATACTAACTGTTATTGGTAAAACTTCTTAGTAAGACACTAAGAGTTGTATTTCATTTTCAAAATTGGGGATAGATCGACGTCTTGACCTTTTAACTTTGTGGAAGACGCAATATTGCTGCTTCCTCCTATAACCCAATCATTTATTGAACTATTCTTCATTATTGTATTGGTTTGTGTTCATTTTTCTGCCATGTATTTCAATGTATTTATTTTTCGTTTTAAATGAAATATTATAAGAACATAGTAAAAAGTTTGGGTTAAAGAAACATAAGAATGTATTTGATCAAGACCTTATTTTAGTAGAAAATACCCTATTAAACAATTCCTTGCATGATTATTTAATTAAATGTGGCATGTGCAAGAACAATAGAAGATATTGCAAGGACCAAAAGGTTTCCACATATCAATGATTTAGTGGAATATCTACAACAAGTTTTTCACTGTGACGACCCAAAGGGTCATCACCGTATTTCTCACTCACCTTGTACTTCCGAGGCCGTGAAAAACCTCACTTGGGGGTTGCCTCGACTTGTGTGCGCAGTCCGGGCGCGTAACCGGAAAGTTTAAATGTGAATTTGTGAGAAAAATAATAAATTTGATGTTTTAAATTGATTGAGTTTGACTTTGGTCAACGTTTTGGGCAAACAGACCCGGACTCGTAATTCGACAGTCCCGGAGGGTCCGTAGGAAATTTTGGGACTTGGGTGTGTGCCCGGAATCAAATTCCGAGGTCCCAAGTCCGAGAAATGAATTCTTGTGTGAAATTATTTTCTGAAAATAATTAAAGAATTTGAAAGTGTTATTTGTTTAGAAGACTGTGCTGTTGTGCTCGTATTTTAGTTTTGACGCCCGGCACTAGTCTTAAATATGATTTAAGCAATTGCTGTAAAGTTTGGTTAGATTTGGACGTCGTTTGACGTGTTTTGGACTAAAAACTCCAAATTTGATGTTTCATGAAAGTTGGAAGGAAATCATGAGTCTTGAGGCCTAATTCGATATTGTTTTGGCGATTTGATCGCACGGATGAGTCCGTAGGATATTTTTGGAGTTATGTGCATGTTTGGGTTGGAGCCCCGAGGGCTCGGGTAAGTTTTGAGTGGGTCCCGGGAGGGTCTTAACTTAAAAGTATCAGAATTTTGCAGGTCCAGGTGTTGCAGGCCCCCAGCGCGGCCGCAGTCATTTCGGCGCGGTACGCGCTGGAAGCCGTGCGGCCGCGGTGCATTTCTGCGCGGTCCGCGTGGCTAGGTTTAGAGGGCCAGAGAATTCCAGTTCGACCAGCGCGGCCGTGTGCCATATCAGCGCGGTCCGCGCTGGGAGATTCAGAGAGTGGGATTTGGGTTCATTCCTCCAGCGCGGTTGCGCTGGAAAGTTCAGAGAGGGGTTTCCCCACCCTTCCTCGACGCGGCCGCGGGGCCTTTTTGTGTGGTCCGCGCCGGGTCTTCAGTACAGTATATACAGTCGGGATTTTCAGTCATTTTTCACTTTTTCAAAACCCGAAACATAAGAGGCGATTTTTCAAACGATTCTACTTCTGCAAAACGATTGGTAAGTGATTTCTAACTGATTTCTATACTCCTTAACATCCTTAAACATAATTTCAACTTCAAAACAAAGATTTTAATAGGGAAAATTGGGAATTTAGGATAGAACCTAGGTTTTCTAAAATTGGGGGTTTTTGACCTCAATTCGAGGTCCGATTCCAAAATAACTTACATATTTGAGTTCATGGGGGAATGGGTAATCGGGTTTTGGTTCGAACCTCGGGTTTTGGCCATGTGGGCTCGGGGGAATTTTGGACCTTTTGGGGTAAACTGATGAAAAAGCTATAGTTAATCATTGGGTTTGATTTGTTTAGCATATATTGATATCATGAAGTCCTTATTGCATAGGTTTGGTTGAGTTGGAGCCGAATTCGAGAGGGAAAATGATTGTGGAGGATTGTATTGGCCGTGGGAGTTGAGGTAAGTGTTTGGTTTAACCCTAGCTCGAGGGAATAGGAGTCGAGTCTTGTTTGCTAATTGCTAAATGATCGAGTACGATGTATAGGCATGGTGACGAGTTCCTATACATTGGGGTCTAGCATGACCGTGAGTCCTTATATGTGGATTGTTTGGATATTGTTATGCCTTCCATGCTTAATTGATGGCTTCTATGCGTTGTAAACACCTTGTGAAAGATATTGCGATTGTGGAACTTCGTGGAGCATTGGCTCGCTCTAAATACAAATGGTGAGAGCATATGAAATGAGAAATGCCTTGGAGCTTGACACGAGTGCTAATGAGAACTAGGATGTGAAAATGAAAGAAAAAGAGAAATAACGATTTACTCTTGCATGGTTGTTATTGGTTGTTTGTGTACCCTTGTTGGGATTTCCTTCCAAATACTTGTTTACTCCCTTGCCTTTATTTGTGACTGTTGCTTGGGAAAGATTGAGAGGTATACATTACGGATCGGGTTGCGCGCCGCAATAATGTTATATGAGGATCGGGTTTCACGCCACAACAGTGATAATTATGGATCGGGTTGCACGCCGCAACAGTGATAATTGTGGATCGGGTTGCACGCCGCAACAATTATTGATACAAATGTGTTTAGTGTTGGTATTGGTTTCTTATTCGCCGGAAATTATAATTTGCACCTAGATTGATTACTTTGGATTTACTGTTAATATTGTTATCTCCCCACAGCATGTTTCCCCTCCCATACTGTTAGTTGCCTTGTACTTCGATTTTTGCTGTATATTTATAATTGCACAGGTTTATGTGGGGTCCAGTCTAGCCTCGTCACTACTTCGCCGGGGTTAGGCTAGGCACTTACCAGCACATGGGGTCGGTTGTGCTGATGCTACACTGTGTGCATTTTTGCACAGGTCCAGGTTTTGAGCAGCAGCAACAGCATTAGCTCGGGGGCGAACCTTCAATCCAGAGAGACCCGAGGTAGCTTGCAGGCGTCCGCAGGCCCGGCGTCTCCCTTCTATCTTTATATTTGGTTGTCATCTCATTGTACCCGAGATAAACAGATTATGTTCTTTCAGACTTTGTATGTAGTACTCCTTAGATGTTCGTGAGTATGTGACTCCAGTCCCGGGGTAGAGAC